ATTGATTTTGGTTGTTTAATATTCACATAGAGAATCCATTTTTTATCACTGGTGACAATTTTGTCCAAAAATAGTTCATATGCATTACGTGCCAGAAGAGATGAAGCAACATTAACACGTTGGAAAAAATGATCATCGGAGAGTTTGTGAGCCACCCAAACACCTTCTTTATGGAGTTTTCTCATATTCCTTAAATGTTTACGTATTGTTTCATCAGAGACATCCATTTTCAGAGCCATTTCACGAGTGTGTTACCTTGGGTTGGACTGAACAAGTGTCTTCAGAGCATCAGTATCAATTCCAACGTGTCGGTCCCTGCCATCACAGTTTTTAAAGCTGAAGTCACCTGAACGAAACTTGCTGAACCATCACTGACATTAATGAACATTCAAAACATTTCCATAAACTTCTTAGATATTTGTTGTGGCTACAGAGGCTTTGTTTCCCTTCTTGTATTTAAACAGCATTACATGCTGAACGTATGTCTCCTCATGTGCCATCACTATAAGAGTATACTAAACTTTACACATTATCTAGGCTACACTAACGTGATGTTCAGGCAGTTCATTTAACTATTATACATGATGTTCATTTTTGGGGCATGGTTTATGAAAGTGTTCCAAAACGTGACATTAATTTCTTAACGACCTAATAGATCAAGCTTTGCCACTATTGTGTTCATTAATTATCCTTTTCTATGACTTTACTGTCTTTTGCTCTGTACTTGTTAATTTTTGTGTATCCCTACTTATTAAGTTATTTCTTATTTTGTGTTCTTTGCTTGGTTAATTCTTATTTTAATCTGTAGTTCATTTAACTATTATACATGATGTTCATTTTTGGGGCATGGTTTATGAAAGTGTTCCAAAATGTGATATTAATTTCTTAATGACCTAATAGATCAAGCTTTGCCACTATTGTGTTCATTAATTATCCTTTTCTATGACTTTACTGTCTTTTGCTCTGTACTTGTTAATTTTTGTGTATCCCTACTTATTAAGTTATTTCTTATTTTGTGTTCTTTGCTTGGTAAATTCTTATTTTAATCTATATTCCTTTAATTCTTTCTGAATCTCTTACTAGCTGTTACACATATGAGTTACTTATAACAGTTTTTACACTATGGAATGCTTGTATGTAATTTTTCATAAGGCCTATCCAACAAGCTACCACTAATTCGCACCTGCAATAACATGGATTGCAGTAATAGTTAGTAGACTGTTATTTATGCTGTGAAGTGCTTGTGCAAAACACATTAAATAAAACACAGTTATTATTGCATAATTTATACATGAATCATACAACTTTTAAAGCTAATAATTCATTATGAAAATGTTCTTTGAATAAAATGAAATTGACAATTGTTTTGTTGAAATGAGTGAATACAATAAGTTGAACTTCATAATGATATAGTTATTTTATGTTTTAATTTAAACTAAATAATTTAAAACCATTGATAGGGTCGAATTGCCTCATTATGTCCCAACAGAAAGGGCATATACAGAATTTTGGATAGGGGATCCAACTCTTGGACTAATGTATAAACCACTGAGGTCTATAGGCACATATGGTTGCCCTGGCAAAGGAAAGGCATCAGTGCATCACAATTCTCATACACCTAAAGTCCACAGAGAATTTTGGTGTGTTTCATTCCTTTTTTTCTGCCAATCACCACTGAAGATGAACAAGTACTCTCTTCTCTCTGAGGGTTGTATCATCCCATCCTTCAAAGTCCACTCGATTTCATTATTAAGGACATCCTTAATTCTTCAAGGAAGCCTGTGTGGCAGTTGTGTTATCAGGTGGATGTAACCTATATATGATGATGTGTGATTGTTATGTCTTATTAGCCCATCAACAAATTTAATGTGTAAGTCATGAGATCCTATCTTTGTTATGAGTTCAATGTGGTAAAACATCCTCAACTAGTGACCTCAGTTGCTTAAAAAGCAGCCTTTGGATGTGACACAGCTGCAGCAATGCCAGCTACATGGCTAGTTTTAAGCAACTTCTGCCTCAATCACCTGAGTAGCTTAATGTTCATAATTATTGACTAGTACCAACTCAGCACCCAGCACTTAAGTAGAAATATGATTGTTTGATTGGGTGCAACCTGTTTTTTTTTACAGAAAATGGTGAGTTTCCTACATCTGTGCACACCACAGAACACCACTTGAGTGATTATCAGTATCGCTATTTATTTCTCAACATACATTCATGAGTCCAGTCTGGTTGGAACTGGATAACTGGATGTTTCTGCAGAACTGCAGTTCACTGCTAAGATGAAGTTAATGACACACCACTTCACCTCACATCTAGCATGTTCCTGTTTGCCAGAATGAAGTTTGTGCAAACTGGCCAAAGTAATTGATTTATTTGAAGTTTCTAATATGCAGCAAGGTTGCATAAAATCTTGACTGTACTAATATCCATTAGAAATTCAGTCTTATACCACTGTGTTGTTACAGACATATATCACATGGTTACCAGAACTGGTTACTATAATGTTGGATACAATCTGAATACTGTGCCCACTTGAGCTAGTGGCTTGACCTGATGTAGACTTGACTTGTTGAAAGTAGATGGAGCAGCTACAGCATTTGTTTTAGTGCTGGTCATAACAATTCTTGCACCTGATAATTCTATCTCACAACAGAATATGGACATTCACACTTCCATTGTTCAGGTTAGCCACAGGTAAGATAGATTCTTAATGTTTCTAGCATCTTTAGGATGGCATCTTTGCTGCATAGGTGGTGTAGCCATGACAACTGGACCTGGGTAGCTCTGCTCGTCTATAGGGAACTATGGTAGCCACACCATGACGTATTGCAGTATCTGTAGCAGTGGAACCATTGTTCAATATTTGGATCAAGCCTTGGAAAGCAGAATCTATAACTACAGTTACCACTTCTGCTGGCTTTTCATTCTTCTCCAGTTTCTGGTATGACACAATTACTTTGCACCATGATGCTATAGAAATGACCTCCATGAAAAACTTCACATTCTTGTGACCCATGTGGAGGAACACTGGTTTACTTGGCAGTCTGTCAGTGAGTTTATTGATAAGATTTTCACTGTTTTCAACTTGACATGCTCAGGAATACCTTTCTATGCTATTTTAGATCATGAATGGTCAAGTTCATTTATGGATTCCTCAATTCTCAAAAGTGTTGAATCTTATACAACTCAATGGCAATTGCTCCTCATCCAAGTGTATTAGGCATTGAGTGTTAGAAAATCCAAGCTCAGCATCACACAATGATACACCTTTCACTTTTCCATCTGTTTGAAATGACAGTCTTCATGAATCATTTGAAGTGATAATCCTGATCTTCCTTCACCAATATTTTAAATACTGACAGGTAGCCTGCTTCACATCATTTTTATTGTGAAACAGTAATGCAAATAGGTACCTGTTACCAGGGTCTCAACCACTCTGTCACCTTCAGTATTTATGGCACTCATCACCTTTTAAAAGTTCAGATACATGCTTCCAAATGGTTGAGATGTCCTTAGATGAAATCTCTAGAAAAACACTGCCAAGCTTAAGGGTTGATTTCATTGTCACATTCTGTGTCAAACCCAGTTAGTAAATATGGTCTCAGGGCATTGTCAGTATGCTTATCTTGTCTGCAAGGCTCTGACTGTTTAAGTATTCACAGGATTGTGGTAAAAGCTGGTTTCTCCATTTGACAGTTGTGTTTTTTCTTGGAGATTTCATCCACCACTCCCACATCACTTCTCTTAAACCAGTGCTTGACAATACATGGGTTAGTCAATAAATGCCTAGTAGTCCTATAGAGACTACCCTAGTTAGACTAAGGATATCCAGACTGATCAATGCCATCATGTTCCATTTTTAACATCATATGTTTCTGCATGCAGGAGGTAACCAATAGTGTCTGTGTTTCACCAGCTGCCTGACAATCTTTTAATCCTGAGGATGGATTGAGAATATGGACATAACTCTAACTGTAACTAGTGAATGCTTTTGGTCCATAAGAGAGCCTCTTCTAGTCCTTTCTGCACTCTCAAATAATTCTCACCTCAACCATGACATCCTTTTCTTCACTTTTTCTGCATGGTTTTAGAAACTACTCTTCCATGGTCTCAGCTTAGAAATTTTACAGAACCAAATAATTAAACAGAAAAAAAAGCATATTTAAAATCTACCCTGCAAAAGCAAATCATAGGTCACTGTGCCATAATGTAACTTAACTTAATCTATGGTATTCGAGTATGCTGACAACCTTTATTTTCCCTCATAACTAACAATAAAAAAAATAATTTGTCTTGTAATTTGCATTGACCTTATGTGTATGGACGGGGTCAAAGTGTGCATGTCACAATCTTTTACAAGAGTTACATTCAAAATTTGATTAAACAAATTTATAATCAATGAATGTCAATAAACTTGGCATCAAAATTTAATTTATAATTCAAATTCTAGTATTATGTAAATTTTAATTTCTTTGTTTATAAAGGAAATATTTAAGTAAATTCTTATTTCTTTACCTCTCTCTGCGATATGATGTCTCTCTTTCTGAATTTAAGGCTAAATAATTGTATAGTATATCTCTCGTATGTTCCTGGGCCAATGGTTTAGAGAGGGAAACACGTAGAATTTTGTAACATTTATAACTTGGTGTTTTTTATATAAATATGAGCATTGTATTTGGTTTGTGCTATTGTCAGCTTTTAAAATAAATGAATCGTATTGGCCAGGTGAAGAAGGGGTTAGAGAGCTTGTACAAGAAAGTGGAGAAGCATTTGTGTGAAGAAGAGAACTTACTTCAAGTGAGTTTGTAGTGTAGTCTCAACTTGGAATTTTCTTGATTATGTGCAGTTTACTATAAAAATATCTGGCTTTCAGTTTGAAAGAACAGGAGGAAAAAAAAACATTGTTAACTACTACTTTCTATATATATAATTCTTTTGAGTCTGGTCTGGAATCATTATATATATATAAACTCAACTAGAGGCATAGAGTTAACATAACTTTGGTTTCATATATTCATTTTTTTCTTAAATATGATTTTATGCAGTTATAAGAGAGAAAGTATAACTATACTAACAGTAATAATATTAAAAATAGTGCTAAACATTTACTTATTTACTAAATGAAACAAATTCTAAATATATTGAAGACATAAGTGTTTTTTTTTCTTATGCAATGCAAAACTGTTCAACGTCATTTTATGAAGAGTACCTTAATAGAGTATTCCCAGTGAGGACACATTTTAGTATGATTATGTTATGATATTATGTTAAAATAAGACTCACAATGATTTAAGTCCCATCATTTATTACTGCCTCTGTACAGGTTTCCAATAATAAGAGCATATAATAATGTTAGAATATAATGATATTATCAAATTTGACTAAGTATTCTAAACATATATATATATATTGGGCTTAATCTGTTATTTGTAGGCAAACATGTTTATCACATTAGTCAATTAATCCTAGAAAAATGCATTGTACAGAAGCACTGATACTAAAATACAATATATACATACATATATACATTTTATTCTGTCTTTTTACTAGATCTTAACCTGGAAAGTTTGGTTTGTTTTGATTTAAAAAAAAAACAAACTTCTATTCTTCAAGCTAGTATACTTAATTTATCTTATGAAATACTTATCTTTATTTCCTTTAGGTTGTTTGGCACTCCATGCAAGACGAATTTATCAGACAATACAAGTATATTGAAGGCCTAATTGAACGCTGCTACCCGGGTTCAATGATAATTCTGGAATTTACAATTAATGATATTCTTGAATTCTTTTCTGAAATAGCTCGGTCTCACTAATTGTTCATTATTGTATCGCAAAAAAAAAAGAGATTTAATACTAAGCCAATAAAACCAGTAGTATATCATGCACTTCATTGATTTCATTCAGACAACAACAACTTCTTTTCATGAATAAAATGAAATTAGAAATGCTAATGATTGGTTTAATAACTATCAATGATAACGTTGCTATGAAACTAAGCACGGGTGAGTAAGTTTCCTGTATAACATTTTATTACAAATATTGTTTATGATAAACTACTATTTAACACAGTTGCTAGTACTAACCATATTTAAATGTTCTCTTTAGGAATCAGCCAAAAATTTCCATTACTACATCAAAACAAGCATTGTAGTGTTTTGATTGGGTAATTTAATAAATTAATCAAGCAGTTGATTACTTTCAGCAGTGATTATGTTGATTATTGTCACATAAAATAATAGATCAATGCTATTAATGCTATTTCTAATTGTAACAACAGTGATTTATTATTAAAAAAAAGAGACGAATTATGTTAAATCATAATCATGAATGAATTTTTGGTGGATAAAGTAATTAATAAATTTTTACATAATAGCGTACCAAACAATTCTTTTAAATCAAAGTAAACTAATTGATTGTTACATTCTTTACACTTCTAAAAAAATTGACTTCATTTGAGATAGCTAAATAATATAACTTTTTTAAAGCTGTAAATTTTGTGTTTAAATTTGGTCAGAATTTATCCATACTTTTCTTAAATACATGTCCAAAATATGATTTTACTGGTTCTGCTTACAAAGTTGATTTTTCATTTGGGAATCTGGCAGAGAAATTAATATTCAAGTAACATCTTCCTTCCTTACATAAAGCAACTACACCCACTTATCAATAAGCATTCAGGTTGTCCACTTTATTGTTCTCATGAATTATACATCGTCACACTGACACATACTTACAGCTGTTAATTCCATATTCAACCATAAGGGGTCTGAAGATACCCAATTTAACTGTCAGTAAACATTGCTTTCTCTTTTAGTGTGTATTTTTTCATTGCTATGTTCTACTTGCTGGTTTTTACTGATTTTAGTTTATTCATTAGGATGCTTCTGAATATCTTAATATTATTTTTAGTCTGATAGTGTAACTGAATGAAAACTGTAAAGTGGTTTGATTTAAGCACCTACAATATGTTGTCATAGCATGCTGTGCAACTGAGCATTAGTTGACTGTTTGTTCTCTGAATTTTCTGGTATCCAGACAAGAAATACAGCTCCCAATAGATCTGATGTATATCTCTCTTCCCAGTGTAAATAAACCATAGTGTATACAGGAATGTATGAAGTAGCTAGATTCTACAATAACTGATTCAAGTGAATTTTCACATTAACATGTTGGATAGGTTGGTTGTATGTCACAGTAAAACATAACAGAAAAAAAGTTTGAGCTTGGCAATGAAGGATAGCAGTGGTATACACCTGTAGTGAATAAGCAGTTTGGTTCTGTCTGGACTGGCCATACTCATATGTTGATAGCTCAGTGAAGTGAACTATGAGATGCTAAGGCTCTGTAGCACTGGTAATCTGTGTGATAACTGGTTGCTTTAGGAACCAGAGATGAGTGAACAGATTGATGATGATAAGAGTTTATTGAATGAACTCTACTAACTCAGTTGAAGAGAAGATTCTGGCAATGAATATGTGATTGAAGAGTCAGATGATAAAATGTCATCAGTAAAGGAATTGTGTTCTAGCACAACATGATAAATTGATGTGGAATCATCACAATATGTTTACCAATTTGATTGATTTTGTTCCAGTTATTTTTGTGTTTGTTTGATGTTATAGTTTTCTAAACCCTAGATAACTGCACTAGCATGGAAAGCATAACAGTCCAGGCTAGTTGCTGTATTATGATGGTGAAAGTCAATTTACTGTCATCTCCAGTGCTTCTGTTATGTTTGAATGTGTGCGTGTATACAAAGTATTGTCTAGATGGTGAATTATGACAGGATTGGCCTTTCTACTGATTTTCAACCATAATTACTTTTATTTCATTACATCACTTGACTTGATGTTTTGCTGATTTGGTAGATGGCACATGAGAGCTATACATGTGTTCTAGTGCCTAGGGAAATGTAACTGTTGCTGGTATTGCAACTGAATGGTGATGTCACATACTGTAAATATATGCTGATTAATATATTTCATTGAGCTGTGTGTGTGTGTACATTGGATTATATACAATAAGTTAAAATATAGAACAGAGTTATTTTTCAGACTGACAAAGAATTTAGCTTTAATATTAAGATACTTATATGCCTTGTAGAGTGATTAACTTAGACTACACTGTAAGAAAAACAGCATGTTCAATATTTGTTTTTGATGCAAATCTACATAATGTGCTATCTGTGCTCTGCCCACTGTTGGTATAGAAACCTAATTTTTAATGTTATAAGCTCTCAGACTTACTGCTGAGCCATCTGGAAGCTTGTTTGATTTTAGTCATTTTTTTAATTGCAAGGAGAGAGAGAGAGAAAAGGTTGTTAGGATAATCTAAGTTACACTAAGTAATAAATATGGTGGACCCATTGTTTTCATTGATGTTGATAAAAGATTATTTGTAGTTGTGGCAGCTAGAATATTTGTAGTGTTTGTGACTTTGCCTTTATAAGGTGAACTCATTATTAGTGGTTTATTCAGAATGAAAAAAAAAACATAATAGACATAAGTTTAATCTTTAAAATTGGAGTATTGACGAACCTTGTAGATATTATTTTATTGAGATATGCCATATCTCAGTATTATTTCTGAACAAGGTTATTGTTATACATGAATTTTATGTTAGCTGCATTTGTTTATGGTACTGCAACATAATTTGGCCCTCTTTAAATTGCTTTCCCCAGATCTGAATCCATAATAGGAATACAAAAAAGATACACTTCCATTCCTGTTTGTAATGATTATTAATATAAAAAGTCGTATAACAATGGAGTTTACCAGAAACTCTCAGGTACATCTGAATACCTTGATTATGAACCACACCACCTTAACAGTGTGAACGATGCCGTGTTGCCAGAATTTGTAATAATAAGAAAGAAGAAAAATACATCACTATAACCCTTCCTGTCAAAGGACATCCAGAACATTTGATAAAGAACATAAACACTAAGGTTAAACAAGAAGAAAATTACAGAAACAGCCACATTCCCTTATTTCAGAGGTCTCTCTGAAGCATACAGAGAATATGTAAACAGGATCCACAACATAATCACAGGCAATACACACCAAACCACCTAAAGACCCAATACATTGGTAAACGAAATAACCAACAAGTCTCAGGATTCAGAAGAGTAATAGATGTACAAGACTGTCATACCAATCTATCTTCAGTATTCCATCATGTGAGAGAAGAAGGCCACATAGTAAAATAAAATAATACTAAGATATTAGAATGTGAACTATGACCAGAAAAAGAAACCTTTTACCTATAATTAATAATGCCCTTAGTCATCCTGGCATTCAAGCTGAATACCCCTCATAAAATCGTTCAAATAGTTGATTCAAACCCTAACTTGGGTAGACCCGTCATGTGGATAACAAACCACCCTTTCTGAAATTAATTTTATTGATAGGATTCCAACCCTACCACACAAACAGTTTACTAATAATTATTTACAAGTATTTTAATAATTCTGTCGTAAAATTATTCAAAAATGAAAGTCCAACATGATAAAAATTGATGTTAATTTCACTTTGTCTTACTGTGATATGCAGTTGTCACATATTTAGAAAACAATTTTTTAAATTAAAAATTTAACCAGGAAGCTCATATTGCAAATAATGGTCACGTCATTCCCAGGTCTAAGATTTTTTATGGATATGGTGCCTGTAATCAATGTTAAAATAGGGTCCATACTTGTGGCACTTTTGTAAATTTGTAAACTAGTACAAATATTAATAATTTATAATCTGTTTAATGTTGCAAATCTTTCATGCATTTTACATGTTTTTAAGGACAAGGGATTTTTTGTCATACAGATTTTGAGTACGTTATAACAATTTTAGAGCTTCTCCATGTCTTTACAGGCCATTTTTGCCAAGTCATGCTTTATTTGATGACCAATCATTTTGACAATAACTCTGCAGTATAGCTTCTATTGCTAAAAGATCAATCATAAGGCTGTCATGTCCAAAGCACACCAGTCATCCCTACATACTTTCCATAATCCATCTAGTGTACAAAGACAATGTCTTCTCATAGCTCATTTTAACAATCTGATTGCAGAGAAATCCATAGGTTTTGTGTCTGGTGACTTGACCAGTATGGAATGGAATGAAAACCTGTTTCATTCTTCAGCTGCTTGAGGTACATTATGGTTGAACAGGAGGTATGACTGAAAACATTGTATTGATTAATCCATACTCTGTTTGTCTTGTTTTCAGATGGCAACCCTTCTTGAATATGTTGTATCCTTTTGCCTGGAGCACATGAATGACTTTTTCCACTGAGATTTGTGTTTCTGGATTCTTTCCAGTTTGTTTACTACAGCTGAGGTATGACTTGTTGTGAGTCTCTTTCTTGATGGTCCTGATTCTCCAAGTTGATCTATACTCCTTTTTTTCTTTTTTTCCTAATTACTTTAAGTACAAGGTATATTCCCATCCCGGAAGTTCTAAAGCCAAGATCTTAACACATCCTTAACATCTGAGTGTATTAATATTTTGCAACAGAAAGGGCTGTTAAACACCCTTCCCAAAAACAATAAATTTTCATTGACATCACACTACCTACAAACTGCCAAACAATATCAAAATATAGTTCTGATACATGCCATTCCACTGCAACATTAAATCAGCTGGAGTTATCACGTCACTTGCTGATTTGTATTTTCAAAAGTGTTTGACTATAATTTACTCAACTTCGTGTATATATAAAACTATATGAATGACATATTTGGTAGTAAATATTCACAAACTAAAGAAAATGAAATGCATCATGGGAAAATTAAAAATAAAGTATTTTGTAAATTTTGATTATTCTTTCACATTAAAATTTTTTGTCAATGAGAAATATTGTTATTTATTATGCAAAGTGCCTTTAGTGAACC